TCAATCATAACGTTTAACTGTTTTTGTAGAGAAGGTCATCGGGCTTTTTATTCTTCTCCTATGTGATTATATGATACCTCCATCATATATATATACGCATTTATATATATACACACACACACATATATATATACATACATACATACATATATATAAGATACACAAGTTTCACATATGTGAAACTTAACAAAACTTCCCCTGAATGAACTTAATTAACAAAACTCAACAACACATGGATTTGGTAACACAGCTCACCTCTCGTCCCTCATCTGAATCAAGCAGAGACTTTAAATAGAGCTATCAATTTCCCTTCAGTTAGTCTAGCCAGTACCACTAGCTAGAATTTAAAACTCAACACAACTGAATGAATTACCTAAAGCTCCCCACTCTTCTGATTAACACATTTACGCAACTAAATGGCTCTATATAAGAAAAAATATTTTGCAAATCCCTTCGTATCCTTTTTTTCCCCGCCTGTCCCGTTTGGTTCTTTTGCCATCAGAATAATTGTCTAAAGGCAAAGAAAGATGCCCAACGGATTTACAGCCTTGCCGTATTGGTCTATTTGATTCACCTTTGCTTTTATTGTTTATTTTATTTTATTTTCACTTGCTACACACGGGACAGACATGACTGGGAGAAAGAAAGAGAGGTACAGGGAAGAAAAACAGCGGGCAAGAGGAACTGTGGTAAAGAGCAAAAAAACAAAACAAACAGACAAAAAATACATATATCAATCACCTGTTGAGAAAGAAAAAAGAGAAAACAAGCAAAAAAAAGCAATATAATAAACAACATCATCGCGATGATCTATGTGAATATAAAAGTAAATACTAAATATTGAATATTATTGTGCAGCACGTAGAATCGACAGCGCACAGTGTGCTTTGAGGTAGGAGCCAAAAAGGGTGTAGTTTGTACCCGTGTGTACACCTGTGAGCATGAGCGCGCTTGTTTTTAAAAGGTAATGATCTGCTAGAGTTGTGGGGAGCCATAGCCCCATCCTCCAGGGCATGAATGCTCAGATGGAGGAGATCCAGGCTCCAGCATTTGCTTTAATTTGCTGAAAGTTTGTTTTGCCAGTACCAGGAGGCTTACACAAACAAAGCCAAGATACTAAGTGCAGCAATGTTAACTTGACAATAGCAAATGATAGCAAATAAAAAGACAGAGAGAATAATGTGCATAATGTGCAAAACGTCAGCACTTCTGGACAAGTGGAGAGTATTACAACTGCTCATCCACTTTGTCACAGGCTAAAAGGTTGATATATAAACACAACAATTTGTCGTGTGTCAGCAGTATCCCCATCAGGCATATAACAGCCCTACACACCAATGCATGATAGTTTAATCACAATATATTTATAATGTAATCACATTAGCTCAACAGTGTCACCAAAATAAGCCACATACTTGAGATAACCTGCTCAGCATTACATAAATCCCATTTTCAACAAAAGTTAGCGGGAAGACACAGTTAACTTGATTGATTGTAAACCCATGTTTTAATTAAAAGGTTGTAATATATACTTTACAGGCTTCAAATAGACTAGATTCTTTTTTTCCTTTTTTTTTAAATACAGTAGATCTTTCTTCAAGTCTTACTGACCAATGCACCCATGGGCCATTTAGTATGACCAATTAGCCTAACCCAGTTAACTGGGTTTCTGTGGACTGTGGGAGGAACCCATGGGGACAACACACAAATTTCACACGGATAATTCTTTGGCCAGATGGTGGATTTGAATCCAGGACCTTCTTGCTATTGGGCAACAGTGCTAACAACTGTCCCACTCACACCCCACCCCACACGTCCTAAACAAACTCACAAAATGGAACAGTGACTCAAAATCACGGGACTTGCCCATGATTTTGAGTCAGTGTTTTG